CTCCTCAGCTCGGTGAGTTGAGTATTTTGCATGGGCCTTTTTCAAGGCCTCCGGCCCAACCTTGGCCCATCTGGGGTGCACAGCAAACATATGTTCAGATTCAGTTTCATATTTCGTCTGCCCTGAAATATATCCAAGTTTTGGAGGAGACCTTAGCAAAAGCAACCCCAAAGTCCCGCCACTTGTGGCTTAGAAGCGGTGTCAATACAGCTTCGGGCCCTCCCAAGCCTTGATTTCATGTCGGTAAATGGACCCAACATTCTTGCATGTCCCAGCTGCATCCCCTTCTCTACTCGAAGTATATGAAGTGGTTGCTTTGTGAGAAAAGGCCCGTTTACTCAACCAGCGACCTTCCCTCGCAGCAATTAAGGAGGAGCAGGGGCAGCTGGAAGGTCTTCCGTTGATATTGCGCCTGATTGCACCCTACCTTTGTGCGTTGAAAAAGATGCTGGCCCGAGCCTTTTTGCGCCGGTGCTGCACATTTCACACTCCAGGCCTGAACCAACAGGAAAAGCCTATGGCTTCCAATCGTTTCAGGGAGCAGAAATCCTAGCGTCTCCGAAGGCCGAAATGGGATCCAGCACGCCTAATGGAGCCGTGAAATGGGTGGCCAGTCATTCTCACAGTTCCAGCAAGTCACGCACGGGAGATGGGAGAGGTGCCCGGCCACATTCGAGTTTTCCCTCCAAAGGGGGGAACTAAAGTACAAGCAAACTCCAAAGGTCATTCCATGTTCAATTGGGCTTTAAGTGCTTCCCAACAGGGGTCCCGAGTTTCTATGCATCGCCCTCCCACAAATGACCAGGGTTAAAGTCATTTGGGTTGCTTGGATGACGGTTTTTAGGGGGTCATTATGGGTCATTCCCCTTCCATTTGCTTAGACCCCCTGGAAACAAATATTTCCAGTAGTGAGAGATTCTCTTTAACACCAACCAGGGAACACAACACACGTTAAGCAAATGGGAATTCCCTCATTAACAGGGATCCTTACATTATACACCTGAACATTGCCTTGTAAATGGTGGTGTCCCTCTATTTTGGTGGAAAAAGCCATGCAAAATGTATCTTTTAAGGAGCCCTGATTAAGAACCAGCCAACGCCGGCGAGACGCGAAGAAGGTCTTAGCTCCGCTACCCTCTCCGCCAAAGCGAGTGCAGGTGGACTCCGGGCCGCACTGGGTGATGTTGGCGCGCAATTCTTCCTTCCGAACGGAACTCGGTGGCGAAGTCTGCGAAGCCCTGCGAAAAGTGACTAACTTTTAGGGGTTGAATCCCGAAAACCCGAAAATTAGTTGGCAAAAAGTTAAAGTCCTAGCATCCCTTGGCAACATGCACCAAAGAGAAGGCCAACTCTGGGGCCATGGGCCGAAAAAAGTGCGCGGGCGACCAAATGGCAAGTTGTGGGACTTGTGTGTGGCATTCGGCTGCAAGATGCGGGAAACCCCCCCTAAAAGGAGAAACAAGAAGGGCGGGACGCCCATGGAATCTGAGAGGCCCATGGAAGACCTGTCAGCTTCCAGAAAAGCCGAAAGTGAACCAAAAGGTGGACAAGTTTGATGGTTAAACATGGAAAGACTGGCAAGAGACTGGGATGACAAAAACGGCTACCGTGCGTGGAAAGCAAAGAAAAATCCAAAGGTCACTGCTAAGACGAAGCTTCTGGGCAGGCATTGGGGTCGTTCTGGCTGCAGGCCGGCGGGTCCCAAATGGAGAAGATCACCTTGCCCGTGAAGGGCTCCTCTGAAACCTGAAAATGTCCACATGGCCATGGTCAAAACCCCGGTTAGCCCCCAGTGAACATCCGATTCAATCCAACCTTTAGAATAGGTTCTAAAATGGGTGGTGCACCTACCCCAAAATGGTACCATTGGTGTTTGCCACATGTCCCCACGGAGCAGGTACCAAGGCTACCCTGCCCTGAGACCCACTACGTACAGGTGATATGTGTGGCACTGTGGCATGTATCAGGGGCGCTTACTCCAGCATGCATAATTAAGCCGAGCATTGGTGCGTGGCTAGCTCCACGCTGATTCGGCGCAAGAGTGAGCAAATAGTCGGCCACAAAATGCAATTCTTTGGAGATCAGCTTGTGGAATTCAAAATGGAAGGATCCTAATTCGCAATCCGCAGTGGGACGCCACAAGGGATGTCAATGTATGGTTTGAGTTTGAACATGTTTAAACCCGAACAAGTGGCTGTGGCTCAAACAGATTTACCAAAATGGCCCCCTGTGTACATGGAACCAAAGACTATCTGCGTAACCCTAGCTCCGGAGTTTTGAGCCACGGTGTTCTTGGTCGCCTTTTGGTCTGCCTCGCCTGCTGGATCCCAGCATAGCCGTAGGCATGGGCCATGACGCTGAAGTAGGACACCGAGCTGCTCTTTTGCACCTGGACCTCGTTGTACCAGGCCTCGGCTACGCCACGGGACGGCACGTGCCGGAGCCGCCGCGTGCATGGGCAAACGTGCCATGATGGGCGCGTTTGCCAAAGGTTGCTGAGGATAGCGCCAGCAAAACGGGCAAAGGTCAGGTGGAAGTCAAAGCTGTCCCCTTGAGCATCAACACAAAACCACACAGCCAAAAGGAACAGATGGCCAACATGTCAACTGAAAGGTAAGAATTGAAAGGGGCCATCCTCCATCAAGGGAGGGGCAAACCCCAAATATGTATAATGCAAGTTCCGCTTAGCTCTAGGGGATGATTCCGCATTCTTTTCAGCCGTGGCCGTTTCCTCTGGGTTTCTGGAGGCGTTCTAGAAAGAAGCATCCCTGGAAAGAATGGGGAAGGTACCCCAAGATTTGCAAGTACATCCCCCTACCATGAGGGGGAGGGGGTGGGGCTCCCCCAATTCCATGTTCTACCACTCCCATAAACAAGGGGAAAATAGAGCCACACATGGAATTCACCTCCCCCAATTCCTTCATTAAGTGGGGCAGGACTTGGATTTCGGCCCAAAGAGTCCGCGCTCCGGCAATCTGCGAGCGGGCCACTTCCACCGGCTCGTCTCCCGGCGAAGTGTAGAACAGATGCACCGAGGCGTGGCGCGGGGGGTTCCTGGGAAGCGAATTCGTCGGAACTCGAAGGCCTCACCGCCTTTGGACTCAAACTTCCGTAGGGTCAAAACGTCCGGACATGCTCTTTACCATGAAGCCCGTTGAAAGTGGTCTCCGAGGTCTCCCAAAAAAAGATTTGCAGTCCAGAAGCTCGGAAACTGAGACAATCATCAGATGTATGGCTATGGAAGCTCCTAACAGTTGCATCAACTTCGGATGATTGATTCTCCGGCGGTCTGCTCTGATGAAAATGGAACCAAATGCAAGTTCCCTCCCCTCTTGCGAGTTGTGCCCAAATTCTGCGCCAGGTTGAGGTTTCATGTGGATCAGAACATGTGTCTGTAATTTCAGCGGAAAATCCTTGATGATGGAATGGGGTGGACCATTGGACCATTGGAGGTACATTGCGACACTCCTGCTCATCAGATTGATGGGGACGTGTTTCCTGTTCCCTCAAAAGTGACGCATCCCATGAAAATGAGACTTCACCTGCAACAGCATCCTGGGTTCCCAGTAGCGCAGTAAGGCCCCTGGAACCATCCCTGAAAGCCCCAAACCACCCCAGAGCCCAGAATCGGCAGAGACCAAATCTAAATCGCTCTCACCTGGGGGAAAAACGGAAAAGGCGGCACGGAACAACTAGAAACAAGGCTGTGGTCCCGAATGGAATCCACTTCTGTGATACAACCAAAAGGGCCGAAACCCAAAGGCTATCCCCCAAACAGCCAGGGTTTGAGACCACGAAACACCTCCGGGGTGTCCAATGGAGGGGTCGGGGCTTTCGCCGTGGCTCGGGTTCTCCGTCTCGTGATCCAGCCGCCGCTCCTTCCGCCAGCTCCGCACTGCCGCCAGCAGCCGCGCGTCCGGCGCGTCGGACAGGGACCCAACGACATCTGCCAGGAGGAGGGGCAGCAGGCAAGACACAGGCATCAGCTTGACACCGGGAGTGGTTGGGGCGCTTGGGTTGATCCAATTGTCTGAATTTTTGAGGATTTCAGGGGGCTTAGAGGAGCCTCTAGATCTCTGAGGTTCATCCAAGTGCCCCAAGTTGTCTGAACTGTTCCGGATTCGAGGGAGCCCGGCTTTTGGTAGAGTCTGTGTAGTTGGTTGGGACATGTTGGGACCTGCACTCCTGGCAACGCGCCCAATCCGGGACACAGTTGCTTGGCACTAGCAGTCTGCTTCAGATATATGTTGCTTCTCTGCCTGTCCATCTCCAGCTAAGACAAAATCGCTCCGGTGCCGGGAATTCAGAAGTAAGCACATGGCACCAAGGGCTATGGAAAGCCACCGAACGCTTTGCCACACTGCGCGAAACCGGGAGGAAAAAAAGTCGGCCCCGCGAGGCCAGAAATGGCCCCACCGCACTCTGGCAGCAAATATCTCTCAAAAAGCGCTGGGCCCACGTGAGCAAAATGAAGTGTAAGCCCAAACTCTGGAACCTGACTCGGGGGCAGGTTCCATGTTGGTGGATGGAAGGGTGAGTGCAAGGATTAGTGCAAGGAATCAGGAAGTGTGAGCGTACGTGCGTGCGCTTGCCTGCATGCTTGCTTGCCTGCATGCACAAGAGCTTGTGTGTGTGTGTGTGTGTGCGTGTGACCTAGCCAGGCCCTCAAGGCAGCAAACAACCTGCAACCTATCGCAATCATCCGAACGGAATACGCAACGTTTGCCGCAAACCGACGTCAGAGTTTGATCCAAAATGAGGGCTGGCAGCAAGACTCGCTATCTTCGAATGTAGGAGGGCAGCCTTCTTTCTAGGGGTACCTTCCCCATTCTTTCCAGGGATCCTTCATTTCAGGAAACCATCAAAAACCCAGGGGAAACAGCCGTTTTTTGAAAAGAACGATGGTTGAAAAGAATGAACCCCTAGATTCTTGCAACCCCCCCGCACGTTGAAACAGAAACGCGTCCCACATCGTCCGTGGCACCCTCTGAGGCAGGCACAGCCAAGCGCTCCTCTTCCTCTTTGCGCTCGCGGGCTTGCCGCTCCTCCTTGTCTTGTCAGGTTTGGACACGCCGAAGGCAACCATTCTCACTCGCCGAAGGTTGGGCTATCGCTTGGCATAGAAACCGCGTATATATATATATATATATGTATATATTGCTGAAAGGTGTGTATAACTGTGTACGTATACATACATATGTGGTGCACAGTGACTTGGTTTTGTCACTACTGTACCCCAACCCCCCGTTGCACCATTTGAGCAGCTCCTTCTCTGCGGCCTCTTCCTCCATCTCATATGAGTACGACCTCATATGGGTGTGGCTCAAAATTCAAGACTAGATAGTTCAAGACTAGATTTGCGTCTTTAGTTCCACAAACCCACCGGGACATTTGGGTAATTACATGTGTTTGAGCCACAGCGATATGGAGTTATTTGTACCAAAAACTGGCGCCGAATCCGTAGACCCACAACTCCCGCTTGTTTCCTGTTTCCTGCCGGCCTCCCTGTAAGCACTATCCCTTAAAAGGCACCCAGGAAGGGAGACTGAACCACCCAGCCCTCTCAGCCACACACTCCGAGGAGCCCAGGACAAAGAGCTCCGTGTTGGGGATCGCCTTCACCTGAGGCAGTAGATCAAAACCCGGTAACAAAATGGTAAGCCCAGAACCAGGTAAAAAGAAACCATAAGGCGGATATAGGCGGCTTTTAGGGCAAAACAAGCTTCCCTTACTAACCTTTATATACCCATTCGCTGGGTTTTGAGCCACGCGGCTTAACTGAAACTTGCTTTTCCGGCTCACTTGGGCCCTGGAACACGAGGGCATCCACAATTCTCATCCTTGGAGGGGTGGTACTGCAGCAAGGGAAACCACTGCCATCTGGCATAAGGACTCTCAGCATTGATTGCCCAAACGCCTGAAAGGAACGCAAAGGACGACTTACACAAGGCCACAGCAGGAAGCCATCCTCGATCATCTTCGGCACCCGAGCCCAATGCACAACCTTCTTAATTCCCACGTCAAATGGAAATGTTGCCCTGCACACCACTAATGCCTATGCTGGGACACTTGGAATGCCATAATCGCATTCCATCGCATTTCAAGACAGTTTAGGGGCTGTGCTAGGATGTCAGCCAAGCAACCTCTGCTCGTGCACTTGTGCGAGGGGCAGGAAATAAGATTGGCTATGTGTTAGAGATAATCATGAAAACAACTTGGTCAATCCGGCAACTCAAAAGCTGCCTCAGCTTTTGTGCCTGAACATGAACAAAAACGCCCCACCCTCCGGAACCCATCCCATGGGAGCTGCCCAAACCACCCCAAAGCCTATCTTGGCAAAGACCCCATAGCATTAAGCTGTTCGGGCGAAAAAACAAAAAGGTGAGAAGGTCTCCTCCAGGCAACTCAGTGGACTTAACATCTGCCCACCCCGCCTCATCATCTTCCGTCGCCTGCGGACAGCATGGGACACAATGGCTCCAACCCTACCCCCAACTTGACATCATGAGGCCGCTATACAGTGTTTACCCGCCAAGGGAAATCACGCGAAAAGCACAAAGGACCCCCAGTAATCTCTTCCCCCTATTAATGAATGACCCCAATTAATAAAAAATGGAAATCCGGGGCCCGCGACCAGATTTCCACTCCGCACAATTGATTTTCCATTGCGCCAATACTAAACCAATACTAAAGTCTTGGAATCCTTATTAGGGGGCACTTTTAACAAGCTTCCAGCCCCACTTTTAAAAAGGTGGGTTCCCCAAAACATGAATTCCCAAAAAGGTTGCTTCCCCAAATCTCTCCCCAAAAGGTTGTCCCTGACTCCCTGACTCTCTGACCTCTTTTTTTTCGCGCGGCTTCCTGGCTTCCTGCCTGGCTTCCTGCCTGTCTCTCTCCCGTACATGCTGGCCAACCTGCCTGGCTGCAAACAAACAACCAGTAAACTGAAAAACAAATAGAATGATACATTATTCAACCGCTTACTCGCGGACCTTACAATTCAATCCATTTCCTCCAAATCCTATGTGAACCCTCACATTGTTGGAAAAGCAAAAAAACCCAACCCCAAAATCCCCAATTAAATATATATATATATATACATATTGTTGGGGAGGATTTATTTATAATAGGGGAGGTGTATTTATTAATAGGGGGAAGAGATTAGGCATGCACTCATGTGGACCCCCCTCCCTGTGCATGCACTAGATTGTGGGGGTACGACCATGGCTCAGCAAACTGAGCTCAAACATACACCCGCAAAAAATACGGCTCGTTGTATCTTTCGACAGCCTTTTGGGGGTAAACAGCCGGGACGCTACCCCGCAACAGCAACCCTCGAAATGGTCATTGATGTGTTTTCAAAAACCTAGCTTAAGGCAGCCCTGAAAAGTCGGCCTTGCAGCATTTCTCCACGTTTCGACAAATCTGAAAAAAAAACTGACGCCCCATGAAAGTCCCAAAAATAAGCCACCAAACCCGCTCCGCGCCTTCTCCTCCCGAGAAGTCGCGGGTGCCTGAGCACTCGCCATGGAACTCAGTGATTTTGGGTCAAGGCTGGGTCCCATGGAAACAATTTGAGGGGTTCTTCTTGAAAGGGGCCTTCAAGAAGAGGACTTAAAGGGCAAGGGCGGTGCTGGACTTCTGGGACAGTTAAAGCAGATTGCACCAATCACTTTCCTGAAAGAAGCAACGTGGGGTTCATTTTCCTCAGGTTCCTGCGCCAGAAGGAGAGTGAAGCCTGCCCCAATACTCGCCAGTCCAAAAAGGGCCCGCAAAAACAAACGGCTCTTCTTTTGAAACCTTGCTTGACACACCTGGCAAACCATAAGGTCTCTCAAGATCGGCTTCAAATGTGCGAATCATACTGCGGACAAACAAGAATTCCTGCCCCAATGTGCCTGCAATCCCGTGGGATAAAGCTGGTGCAAAATGTGCACATCCGCCGTGAAACGCTTTGAAGCGGCGCGTTTGGCTTCCGGGCCCGAGCTTTGACATCCAGCGTGCCCGCCTCCCTTCGGCGCTTGCGATGCCGCCGCCTATGCGGCGCAATCACGACCAACCGAAAGCCCGCGCGAAGGAAAACCGGCGAACTTTCAGACATCTCTGTCCATGGGTGTCCTTTTGGAAAAATGGATGGCCCTGGTAAATGAATGAAACCCATCTAAACCAGTGCCTTCTATTTTTAACAACAACCCCAAAGGGTCACCTATGGACATCTCTCTCTCTCTCTCTCTCTCTCTCTGCCGCACCATCGGTAAGCCGAACTTTCAAACAAATCCTTGCCCATCGTCTTGCTGACTTACGTACACTCGAGGCCACAAGCTGTCACTAAGAAACCTACGAAGGAACATGACTCCCGGCATGCTGCATGCTGCCACGGCGGATTTGAGCGAGCGGCGACCTGCTGCGCCGGCCTTCAGGCCTTACGGTGCGAGCCCGGGTCTGGGGTGGTTTGGGAGTGCCCACCCCGGGGGGGGGGTGGGGGGAGCAATGCTCCAAATAGGCTGCCACAGGTATAAAAGTTGATATCCTACAATACTATCACGCAAAAAACCATATCAAAACCACTATGAAGGCAATCCCCACACTCAACCAGGCAGATGCCCCCAGAACTCCAAGAAGCAGCAAGCTGGAGCGGAATGCAAGACAACTGTCCGTTCCCAGGGAAAGGAGCCCTCGATCCTCAGCTGGCATCAAGATTGCCCCTCATGGTGGCTTTGAGGGGGTTCTTCCACCCGCCAAAACATAACTTTGGAACCCCCAAAAAGCAGCCAATAGAAAGACCGGCAGCATGTGCTCCGTGATGACGTGCTCACTCAAGGGCCCAGGCTCTCTGCTATCTCTCCGCCGAGTGCGGTGATGGCTGCTGTCTGCCAGCATGCGGCGCTGGCTTCACATGGTGGCAAGGAAACAAGGATCCCCCAGTTGGCTGTGGGTCAAAACCCTGTAATCTGGTGAGCATCAAATAGGTGGCGAATGGATGTTCACCAAGAAATGGAGCCATAGGTTATGCCCCATGGCCATTTCACTCCATAAGGATGAACTAAACATGCAGCCGGAAAGTTGCTAGTGAGGGATGTTTCAGCCCCTTTCGAGGGCATTGTTTGGGGCCAGGCGACCTAGCGGCCTAGCGGCCTAGCCGCCTGAGATCTTCTCCATTGGGTCTGCTGGCACCGAATACCGCAAGTCTGAGATTTTGCGCGCTGTTTAATGTTTTTGTTCATTCGGCACAAATGATGATCGCTCACGCACATCCACAACTGCGCCCTTGCTGGCACACATGAGAATAAGCAGCCGATGATGAGCGTTCCCCCATGCTGGCGCATGATAATGAGCAGCCTCGTGCACCATGACAACCACTGCGCCAATGCTGCAAACGCAAAAAACATGCGCAGCTACAACCACTGCATTCACAAAGGAGCATGCATGGACACGTTCACGCTCGTCCACAACCACAGCATTCATGCTGGCAGAAATGATGGCAAACACATAGGTACAACCAATGCGTTCATCCCTGGCACAAATGTGCGCTGTTCTAAGTCATTGTGCTTTAGACCAAAACTTAGCCTCTATCTCTGTGGAGGTTAAAGCCGGCCAATAGTCATGTAACAAACCACGTCACTCTTCATGTAAGTATTCATGTAAACAAAAACAGGCCTTAAAGAAGCACGTAAAAGATCATGTAAACAATGTGTGCCTCAGTGTTGGAAGCTGGAAGCTGCACCATTTGCCATGTAACAGGCCTGAACAGAGATAAAAGGCGCATAATCAGACAAGCCAATGGCAAAATATTGGCAAGAAGAAGGTAAGGCTCCAACCCGCCCCTCCCATCTCCCTAACAAGCGCCCAAGGTGTTGATTGAGTGATCTTTGTTATATCCTTAGCAGCTACCATAGAAATGTTAGGAGGCCAAACGTCTTAAGTCTTAAATACGTGGTTGGCAAGCCTAAGCATGCGTGAGCAGAAGCAAGAGCAATTCCTGAGCATGCAGTTGCAATCTTCGGAATGGTTCCTGAGTACGGTCTCCGAACTGTTCAGAACGGTTCAGGGTGTGATGCTGCTATCCCTCCTGAACGGTTCAGCACGGTTCAGGGCATGCTGCTTGCAATTCTTCCTGAACGGTTCAGAACGGTTCAGGGTATGCTGCTGCAATCCCACCTAAACGGTTCAGAACGGTTCATAGTATGATGCTGCAATCCCTCCTGAACGGTTCAGAACGGTTCCTGGGAAACTTGAGCGTGCGCTGCTTGCTAGACGGGCTCCAGAACGGTTCAGAACGGTTCAGGGGCATGGCTTCCAATGCCCCCGGAAAGGCTCAGAACGGTTCAGGGGCACGCGTTCCAATGCCTCCGGAACGGTTCAGAACGGTTCATGGGCATGCAGTTTGGTTGCCACCGTTCCTCGGAACGGTTCGTGAGCACGCGGCTGGCGGTTCCAAGTCCCAGGTAAAAGGTCAGGCCGGCATCGGAACATCGAAAGCGATCCGAAATCTCAAAGCACAAAAGGCAAAGAGTTGTCTGAAATTCACGCGAAAACTTACGCAAACATTTCCGCAGAAAAAGGCTGGCTGAACCGTTCTGAACCGTTCAGGAGGTCCGTCCGCAGAACTTGCGTGCACATGTGACAGCATCGATCGCTCCTCTTTTCCGGCCTTTGCTCAACTGGTTCTTGGATTCCCTGGGTCTTGCGGACTAACGAGACGAAGCCGCGGCAGAGAAAAACAAACAACAACGCCCGACAGTACCACAACGAGGCAAGCAAAGCTGCAAGAAGGAAAGGCTTGAAATTGTCCTTTGTAATTCCTGACTGGTTGGATCAGTGGCCACGCGGAGACAACCGCGTGAAGAGTCGTGTGTGCATGTGTGTGGTGGTGTGTGTAGGTGGTGTCTGTGTGTCTGTGCGCCAGGTGCATGTTAGGAATATAGACGTTCACCTTGATGTTCTTCAAGATTGGCCCTCGCAAGGTCACCCAAAAATAAGCTGACCAAGTCTTGATTGTTGGAAAGAGCCCTCAAATATTCTTGATGTTGTTCACGCAGCTGACATAACCAATGACCGGACCTACCGGACGTTCTATGACAAGACGCAGTGTTCCTAGTCCTCGGTTCCTACAGCATCTCCTTTCTCATGATCACTAAACACACATGTATCTTGGTGGGGGTTCTGGCTGCCGGGTGTTAGCATGGCAACGCAACCCAAGCGCAAGCATTGGCGCACGTGCTTTTGCGTCCGGAGCTTTTTGGCTTTGCCAACGACACACATCACATGCTCGCGAGCAAAAAAACATGTGGCTCGCAGCTGCCAGTATGCATGAACATTCATGTCAAAGATGTCGCGGCTCTTCCAATGGTTCATGACTCATGATGCTTAGCCTTCCTTCAGTGATATGAGTAGGTGAAATTCGCGAAGGGGAAGGTTCTCGTCAATACATATCCCTGTCCATGAGGGACACTAAGTCCAGCTCACGCATGGTCACTCAAGATCGGGCAAGCGAAAATGAATTACAACTATTTACCTCACTATTTACCATATTATTTACGGACTCTTTCTATTAAGGGCCAGGCCAACCAGAAAGCTTGATTTATTTACGTTATTGTTTACGCTTTTATTTTCGGGTACGGCGAAAACGACAGACCACCCTATTTATAGAGGCTAAGTTTTGGTTGAAATTGTGCGGCACTAACAAAATATCGTCCGCATGCCTACGCGAGCTTCCGCGTCTGCGATAGCTTCCGCGAGCGGTGTCTACATTGCAAACGCCTACGCGGCGCTTTCGCGGATTGAGTTGTTTGTGGAAGTTAGACTTGTTTTCGCTTATGCGAAAACAGCAAAACCGCAAAGCTCAGCTTGTCAACCTGCGGAAGGCAAAGGCGCCTAGAATCCGCGCAAGCGACGCAGCATGTTTGCCACATTGACAAGGAACCATGCCACACCCTGTGTCTGAGCCCCTGCTACGGGAATGGAAACGCAACAACTTCGTGGAAGGCCGGCCTCCGAGGGGGCTACGCGAACCTTTCGCGACTTGGGCAAGTGGTAAAACCCTTCTGTGAACCCTTACGCGGCCTTCCGCAACCCAGGGAAACGCAACATTTCAAATCCATACTTCCTCTCGAGTACTACTTTCAACTGCAGGGTATTTAGAACGCTGCTCAAATGAAATAGACACGCTCACATGCATCCACAACCACATGCTGGCACAAATGGAAATATACACGCTCACCGCATCCACAACCAACTGCACCCATGCTGGAACTACTCGCACACATTCCCTGCGGAACTCCTGTTGCCCCAAGATATCTCGAAGAGCA